AATATTGCTCTTCGTCCACTTTGAAATGGTAGAGAAAGTTTTTCTGAGATGACACCAAAAATACAGTTTGATGGACAACTTAGGGAATTACACAGTTGCAAGTTTAGCAGTCTTAGCACAGTTTACACCATGGCAATTTTGTCCAATTTGAGTCCTTTGTTAAGCCAATTCTGTTGTCCCCAATCAATCAAGTTCATAACTATTTCACTAGTATGTCTTCTGTTCTATCAAATGAGCACAAGAAACTGCCCATTCAGCTATCACAACTACCCTATAAAATACACAGAAGTCAGTAATTTAACCAGTTTTACAAGAAAAATTAAAAGAAGTTAAACTTAAAAATAGAGTTCGTAATAAACATTGTAGACAATGCTGGCATTAAGATGACATTTTGTCTGTTCAGTAGTCATGTCCCCAGGCTTCCCTTGGCCTCCCCAGGCCTCCCTTGGCCTCCCCAGGCCTCCCTTGGCCTCCCCAGGCCTCCCTTGGCCTCCCCAGGCCTCCCTTGGCCTCCCCAGGCCTCCCTTGGCCTCCCCAGGCCTCCCTAGGCCTCTCCTATATTACACTTGCTTTCATGTTGAATTTACTCTTCAAGAAAGCTCTGGACAGGCACCTAAAGTCAGCAGCTGACCAGTTGAACTGTGGTTCGTACGTCGGTTTATGTGTGGCCAACAGTAACAGCCTGGTTGATCCGGCCCTGATCCACTGATCCACTTGATCCGGCCCTGATCCACGCTCCCCATGGGGCGTTTTACCCCCCAAAACCCTTTCCAGTATACTCCAGGTATACACAAAAATAGAAGATTTACTATATTTCTTGGATAATAAAATAAAACCAGGAATGATTGTTTTATGGTTTACAGGGTCCCAATAATTTAATCAGTGCTATAAAACCCATTTGGGACTTGCAAATGAGTGGATAGAGTTATCAGAGCTTATTTCTTGGGTACATTGAGGACTGGGTTGGAAAATTTCGTTATGGATAATGTACAGGACCCCCCGAGCATGGGGCCCAACGGCCTCTGAGTGATCCCCTTCTTTTGTTCTTATATTCTTATTTCATCAACCACTATCACAACTGCTTCCACCCCCCTACCAC